CACATAGTTCATGGTTTCCTTCACGTAGCTGCTGGGTGCAAATGCGAAACGATGCCTTTTCTAATTCCGATTCTTATCATTACGTTTGCGCTTGGCAAGTGTGGTAACTAATCAGAGCGGCTGTTCGTCCACATTATCAGCAAGATCAGGCAGCCACGAGTGATATATAATAAGAATGGCATAGAATAATGCAAAAGTCGCCGCTTCACAATACTCTGCCTCCATCTCAGCGCTTTCGAATACTTTTGACGGCAGACAGCTGCTGGTGTTAATGTGTTAACGCAACTGTGTGGTTCGTTCGCGAAGGCGGTTTTAGGCATTGTTTCAGCCTGCTTTTCACCATGGCCTCGCTATGCTTGGGTGAGAATCATGTCTTGACGCTGCTGGAAAGAAATAGAAAGCAGCGGACAATTTTTGAATTTTGAGAATAAACGTTCCTTTGTTTTGCTAGCTCAGATCAGCTATATTTTTTTTTTCGACTTTACTAAAACGAAATATTCACTTAAACGAAATTTTTTCCGTGCCCCGGCACTTTTGTTGTCGCAGGGTTCGAATGTATATAGATACGTATACATATACGGTGCATGACATCGACACCGACGCCGACACCCATGTCGACACCAAAACCCAGCCAAGAGTGTCCACATAGTTGCTATCGCAATGATACATAAATAAATATGTAACAAGAAACACCTAAACATAACTGAAAGACAGCAGGGACCTTCTGTTCTTTTGTGAAGCATGTCACATGTTTGTTTTCTTAAGCTGTTTATAGCATGAGTGAAACCACTACAGTTCGTTTCACAACACCGATGCGCTAGTGTTGCCGGAACAGACCAGCTTTCCCACTCGACTGGGTTGGTTTTTCTCACTGACAAAACAAAGCTGGAGAAACTGCGGCAATACTACGGTATTCGACAATTTGCACGTTTATGACCACCACTATGATATTTGTTTTACTGTAAAATAAAACACAATGAAGCCTGCAAAAACTGCACACGGCTTCAATTTTCAACTTTCACAAACACTACAATCATCATTGCCCCCACGAACCAGTGCTATGAACATGCAAGACACCACTAGGAAGGATGGAAAGGGTGGAGATCAAATGCAAATACAGTGAAATCCCCTTGATACAAACCTGCCACGGATGGCAGCATAACTACGCAATAAATGTACTGTATTAATTGCCAGCTACAAATTTGTATCCCCTGACATGCGCCATCGCAGCTAACAAAATAATAAATGCAGTGCTGGGGGAAACATTGCCTAAAGTGCCCCCTGCAAAGCCATTTCTTTTTTTTTTCCAAGGTACAAAAAAGTTTCTGATTCTCGAAGAACCACCCGATAGCCCGCGATGGCGATGCCAATGAGCATTTCGAAACCACAGCGAGATCCGGGATATGCAGCGTGGTACAGCGACGGAACCATGGAGAAAGGAAACAACTTTACTTCCTGCGTGGACAGAACAGACACAATCGGCTGTTCGTGATACAGTTGTTTCACGGTCTGCTTCTAAGCGAAAACTGACGCAGTTTTTTTTTTTATGCCGTACAGTCGCAGAGAGCCAAATCCTTTATTGCATGGCTAGTTGCATGCAACGCTTCATTCACACTGCGCACACCGTGAATGCCGATCGTCTTGCTGCACAGATTTGGCGAGTAGCCTGCTGGGTTAAGGCGGCCCCAAAGAGCTTTCCGTAGGCAATGTGATCTCGGTGATGCTCTAGCAGTCCTGGCAGCAGACGGAGGTGCATTTCGGCTGTCACTAAATAAAAGTGTGCAGCATGGTAACAACAGCGCTAAGCTTGCTGTACGGTGCGCAAGTTGGCATAATACAGCAAGGTTTTTCAGTGCCCGCGATCCACAACACTATATTCTGTAACAGCGAGCTGCTTGCATTTCTGTAAAACGGTGTGCGCTTGAACACGGTCCCACATAATGAAGAGGCAGCGATCGGCAGCCCAGCATGTTTAGGTAGCCGCGCCCTAAAAGCGTGCACCAAGCCTAAAGTGACGCTACGCCACATGCCTGCCTGAGGAGGTAACCGCGGATGATTACTATGATGAGGCTTTTTGCCGGCGAACAGTCATCGGCGCGTTTGGCGGTGGTCGCCACCTCCCCTTAGTTTTTTTCCCCCCGATGGTTACTCCCAGCGTCATCGCAACAATCGCACAAAACTCGTATCAGCTGATCTCGGCACTTATCAACATGACGAAAAACTGTTCACGGCACATTGTAGCAACTGCAAGTTCAGCGGAGCAGTAACAATTTGTCCCACAAGATGTTATCGCGGTACACAGTACGAAATAACCGGTAGGAACAGGCCGAACACTACGGCTTAAGCGGTCCGCAAATGCATTAGTCTCTATAAGACTCGGTCGAGAATTCACCACAACTACGTTTTAACGGTTCGTATACTTAAAGCAAGTACGCACTAACGAGGTTTCACTATAGAAGAATTTTGTTTTATACACTTCTACTCACTTTCCGGAAAAACCACTGCAAGGTATTTTAGACGGTACACTTTCTATTGCGATACAGAATAAAAAAAGCGATGAAGGACGGTAGAGAGTCCTATTATGCGACAGCTCTAAAGCCTCGCCGTTCGCTCCCAAGACTGCTAGAGCATTGCGGAGTGCATATCTCTTACAGAAAGCCTGTCATCACCACGATACCTTAACAGGCTACTCGCCAAATCTGTGCCAGAACTTGAAGCGAAAGACGTATTCGACAGCAAGTTGACTGGGTAGTCATGGCATGCGCCAAGCAGGTTGATCGATTGACATGTGGAATTTAACATCCCGAAACCACCATATGATTATGAGGGACACCATAGTGGAGGGCTCCAGAAATTTTTACCGCCTGGGGTTCTTTAACGTACACTCAAATCTGAGTACACAGGCCTACAGCATTTTCACCTTCATCGAAAATGCAGCCACTGCAACCGGGATTCGATCCCGTGACCTGCGGGTCAGCCGCCAAGTACCTGGGCCACTAGACCACCGCAACGGGGCCACTGGCGTCCCCATCCGCATGCTATCAGAAAGTTGTGCAAGAGTGACAAAATCTTTCTTGCATTTTGGTAAAAAGAAAGAAATGGCATTGTGATGACCACTTTAGGCAATATTTGCAGTGACAGTATTTCTTTGTTGACCGCGATGATGCCTGTCAGGAGTACAAATTTGGAGCTGGTAGTTAAGGGGGGATGCGGCACTTAAAAGTCGAAAATCGGCCAAAAAATCGCATTTTCTCTCTCATCATTTTTGCTTTCCCGAGGCCCTTCTGCATCTATCAGCAAATTTAGGCTCGAAATTCTATTTATTTCCAGAGTTATAAAGATATAAAGAGCAACTACGCGCAAGCGGACCTTTATATTCAAGTCTAAACTAGCCTTACTTCAACCGCCGACAGCACGCGAACTAAGCGTTCCACCAGCGCCATTTTGGTCTTATTTGAAAGGTCGCGTTTCCAGATTTTCTCTTGTTTTCAGTAAGCAACCATGTGCCCCACGCCGAAGCAAAAAAAGCAAAGCAAAACCACGCGCTGCGCGCGACTCCATTGGAGGCCTGATGCACGTAACCAAAATGGCATTTCTCGATTGGCCAGGGAAACTTGATGGCAGTGTCAGCTGCCATTTTGAAAAGGTATCGCTCTTGTGATGGTGTCTTATCACTAACGTGTTCATGCGGTCAGTGTGCTAGAATATTGCGGTTCGCTATGCCCGGCGATGTAAAAAAAGTTCCGGTCGAAGCATCATTTTGGCCGTTCACGGAAGAAAGGCAGGGTTAGAAAGCCCAATGGCGCTGCTACTGCATTGCGTGAGCAAGCTCCGACATCATCTGATAACGTCGACGGGGCCGTAGACGATTCCTCGTGCCTGCGCGGCGTGGACGCTGGCCGCACGAGTACTGATGTTATCGTCAACAGTGGAGTGCACGAGACGGGTTCCACGGATAGCGTACGCTCTATGGACTATGACCGCGCCGATGCTATCGGGAACGGAGAAGAGCGCGTAGACACGCGCCTCCCTGACAGCATGCGCGATGTCGACTCTGGCCGTGTGAGGGTAGACGCTGATGTGATCGGAAAGAGAAGCATCTGAGAATGTGAGGAAGCTGGCCAAGACGAGGAATAAGAATGGGATGCATCCAGATATGCCCCTGATGCATTTTCTTATGCTTTTATAGGTATTTTTCCAATAAAATTGGTTTTCAACGTTTTTCCTTGTTTTCTAAAAACAGCAATTTTGACACATTTGTCACAATGAAGGATAAATAGCTTCTGTTCTATTTGAGCTATCAGCATAATTTTTGTTTTGCCAGAAAGATAAATGCATGCTGCAAGCAATATGCCTATTTTCAGGGCAATATACATTTCACAAAATATTTTAATGGGTCACATGTATGATATGTGACAATGGCTTTTTTTCTGCAAACATTGATGACCTCTAACTCTTTTTAAAATTCGCCTAGTAAATTGATTTATAGCATCTTGCTATCCTTGAACATCCTACATTGTTTCAATACTGTAAACACCATTTTTGTGTGTTCTGATTAGACGCTAAGTTTGCTCCAAACAAAGGACCCAGCTTATGCAATGATAGCACATTATATTGGGAACTACTAGCTCTATCACAAAAGTAATTATATTTTTGGAATCTGCACATCAAAATACACAAACTGTGAAAATTTGGTTCAGATCTATCCATAAATAAAAAAGTCGCTTTTCAAGTGCAGCTTCCCCCCTTAATGCGGTTCCCACCATTCCTGGCAGTCTTAACGGTTTCACTGTACAAGGTAATCGTGCTTACACAGGCAACAGTTACTGCTGCTCAACCTACGACTAGTCTTCTTTTTTTTTGTTACATTCCTTTTCCTTCATGCTCAAACTGAGCTGCGACAAAGCTATGCAGGAATATGATGCATCAACTCGCCCAACTAGGCGTAGGTAATACTGCACTTTGAAAGTGTGTTTCATTTACTTTTTATTGTGAAGAGCCTAGAGAAAGAAAAACCAGGAATATCTCACTTTGGCAGTGGGCCTGACCAATATGGGCTGCTTCGGTGGTGGCATGGGAGACTTGGTTCGTCTTGCCAGGGTTTTGCGCCCCTCCCCCCCTTGGGAGTGCATCAGGGAGCGCCTGGTGGGATGCTGTTCCACTATGTGCACATGCAAGGCACTGCTGTGGGTGAGGAACTGGGCCTCACAGTAGGGGCACTGGTCTAGCCCAGAACCATTGACCTGCACAGGAAGCTTACATCACACACTACCAATACTTTGTCACTCTAGACAAAAAGTTGTTTAAAAATTCAAGAGTATGATGAAAACAACTGGTGAACACAACTGGCTATTACATGTTTGTAAATGGTCTCAATACTAGCCTTTGGCTAAGGGACCACACAGTGTTTGCAATCAATTTGTATTTTATCTTATGCCAATAAACTTCAACCAATGAATCAACGAATATTGATCACAAATAATTACAGTTGAGCCCACATATAACAACCCCTCTTAAAATGATTGATTGATATGTAGGGCTGACCGCCCCAAAACCACCATATGATTATGAGAGACGCCTTAAGGTGAACTTTCGCTTAAAACGACCAATATCCATGAGACCATGAAAATATACATTGGTTCAATGGCACAAAATCACACTTACAACGAACGTCTCTGAGCGCCGCTAATCAGTTAACTCGAACGGAGTCAGCGGTCTGCCGCCTTCCCGGGAAACCAATTTCGACCACCGATCAGGCATCGGCGAGGTGCCCATTAATTCTTATTGTTAAACGCCGACCCTGCCTCCGCTGCCCTCTAGTTGTCGCTCTCCCCAACCCATGGACGAAGGAAAGCTGTTTCCTTCCTCCATGCCCCGACTGCTTTTTGTTACGCACCCCTCTGTCCTTTGTCTCTCCACTACTCTGAGCACCCTGCATCGCCAGACGAGGCCCGTGTTTCACACTACCACGGATTTTCGAAGATTGGTCGGCCGTCTACCCTGTTTTTGATCACTGGTACTGTCGTTGGCGTCGCCAGCCTGGAGTGACCAGACCATCTGCACACATCGTCGGCCACAGACTGTATCCGATAGTCTGCGTCTTGTACACTACCCCACCAAGTCTGATAAATTGCGATTCGTTTTGTGTTTAGGACTTGTTCTCACTCACTTCGCACTCGGCTCAAAATGCCTTCCGTGCGCGTGCGGAAGCGCGAAAACAGCTGTTAATTTGCGCGGAACGAATCCCAAAATATCGAAGTTCGTGAGGCCATGCAAACCTGCTGGCGCAACAAAACAATTTTTTGACCACGGCCGCCGATTCTTCGAACACCGCCGCGCGCACCAATCCAGGCGGCCATGCTTTGACTTCTGCGCGCCCAGGCACTCTTTGCAAGTTTTCCTACGTGCGAGTTTCGCGGACCTTTCAAGCATGCTACTCAACTTGCCTTCTTCCTTTGTGTTTTGGTTTTCAAGGTCGCCCTCCCACCGCATCCTCCCCTCTCTTTCTTGCAACTCCTTGCCTTTTTCTCGCAAGTCTGCTCTCCTCTCTTGATAACAACCCCTTCGCCCGTCTCCACCGCTCCGTGACGCCGCCACGCTAACTCGAATTAGTTTCGTTTTCTGACTGGATACGGGCCCAGAGCTCTTCCACACGTTCTGGCATGAGTGTCGCGTGTGCGCGACTTGCTTGCCCTTGGTGAGGGTGTGTGGTCATGATGGCCGACGGGACGACTAGCACGCTTTTTTCTGCCACTCAACAAAACGTCGAAAGTGTGACCGCTTGGCTTGAGCGTAATCCGCCTGTTAGGTGCTGCGTTGCGAAGCGCTTGCTCACAGCTGTTGACCGCCTGGCAGCCAACTTGCCGCTTCGGGCGTCCCGGTATTTAGCTGTGGAGATGGTGAATGTTTCGTGGGTGGCGGTGACGGCTACATGCGTGCGAAACTGTTCTCGCGAAGCTGACTTCGTCGACGTCAGGCCTGATGCCGAGCCTGAGGCTTCTGAACTACGGCGGCGATTTGTGGCAGCGCGTTGTCGACTCCGGCCTGGGAGAGCAGATGGGACATCTGTTGCAATGGTTTAATAACGACCGATAATGATGCCGACACTGCGTAACCATGCATGGATTAGGGCATTGTGAATGAAGTACGTGGCGAGAGCGATTTGGAGGAATCGTATTGCGAGAACAACGAAACTTTGGAGCCAGTGCTTCATGCAGCTTATGCCACGGGCCTTGGCGAACGAGCACCTTGCCGTTTTAAATGAACTCGAGACTGCCTTTATCACTTCTGCTCTTCAAAACACGTGCATCACAGACTTTTTGGGGCAAAAAAGTTTGTGTTTTCACTCGCAACTTTTTTAAAAGCTGTGTTTAATTTACTATGCACTTCTGGATACAGCGAACAGATGCCAGTGTTACGCTCAGGTTTGTTTATAAGCGGGCTCGACTGTATTATCTAAATATGAAAAAAGGAATGTGAATGAAAAGATACCTTGCCACCATCAAAGACCTAAGCTATGGCGACAGCCATTTCTCCGTCTACTTTGCAAGGTATACGTGTGCATTGAAACGCGAAAGAGTCAGTCAGCACTTCCGGTAGCCATTACGGTGAACGTGGAACACCTATTGGCGTCATGAAGCTTGTGATCTTATTATGAGCTGGCAGCTCACCAACGATTTTTCGCATACTACCTCACGGTATCAAGTCTGCCAAAAGACCCTCACTATGAATGAGGCAAAGAAGTGCAAATTTAAGAGTTCTTGAATTTACACTTCTTTCCTTAAATCAGGCACAAGTCAGACTGGTGGAGAAAAAACAACACGACAATTTAAAAAATGGCCCCGTATCTGCATGTTAATCTGCAAATGTCGTCGAAAAACGAGAGTGAACAAAACATTTGTTTGATGTTCTGTGCAAGAAAATCGGTGAAGGGTATTCTGGAGGCGCTGCGTTAGAGTGCCTCGAGCGTGCAGCAGAGGCGAATGAGCGCATCAAGTCACGTCACACGTGATAAATGAGCGCCATCTGGTAGTTTTCTTGGAAAACGAAGGGCGTGGTTTTGAGACAGGTGTGCGCACCCGTCTCAGAGGTGATAAGGTGTAGAACACAAAGCGACGGGTGAGTGCCACCATCGTCTCATCTTAGCAAAGCATTGAAAACGCGCCTTTTTGTGCAAGCGTTGCAAAGTCAGCACAGTGTGATAAGGGCGACGGTCCTTAAAATTACTCTATTTCTCTTTATAGCAAAAGACGCACATGCAGAATATATACAGTCGAAACCCGCAGTAACGAAACCACGCGAGTACGAAATCCCCACGGCAACGCGATATTTTCTGATCCCCGACGAACATTCATAGAAGCCCATGTATTACGTATCTCGCGGCAACGAAATGTTTTTGGACAGCGATCTTGCATTAACGAATTTTCCACCATAGTACGGGCCTTATTTTACCCTTCCACCAAAGGTTAACTGCCGAAAATATGCTCGTATGCGTGTTATGCGCACTCAAAATTTGTAAACGTCTGCTTTTGCCGCGCTAGCGTGGGTACCGCCATATTTGTTTACTTAAGGGTGTACGCGGCTTTGGGATCGCGAAAAATGGCAAAAAAAAAAACGATTTTTCGAAAATCAAGTTTTCAGTTTATGGAACCCTTTTTCTATCTTATTCCAAAATATCTACACTAAAAACCACGCAGAAGTGCTTCGAAAAATTCATTTCACCCACCTAGGTAGTGAAACTTTTTCTGGAAATCGGGAGAAAAGAGCAATTTTTACAAAATTATGGCTTCACGATGGAGAGGCTGGGAGCCGGCTTCTTGGGCTCATCGGAAAAAGCATTTCTCCGTGTTTAAGGGGGGGCATGGGTCTTTAAAATTTTTTTTCTGTTTTTGGCTCAATCTTGACCAAACCTCACCATCTTGGACAGTTTTTCATGCTGATTTCAAATATGTAATTGTTTCTGAAATAGCTTCAGTGGAGAAAAAGATATTAACATCTGTAATTTAATTAATTATGCACTTCATTGGGGGCTTTTTGGCAACTTAATCAAGCCAGATCCAAAAAATAAATGCATAGCCCCAATGCTGAGGGCTTTCTGTATGGGGTGATGCTATTTTTATTAATTTTTAAGCATTATATAGATAAGAAAACAGACCAGCACTTACAATGGATATTCTGTTCAATTTTCGCTCATTACTATCCATAATTGTAATTAACAGTATGCTTCTAGAGTAATCAAAATAGCATCACCCCATAGGTAATATTATTACAAATAAAATGATACCAAGTTTGTCATTCTCAATCAACAGTAACATATAAGAAAAACCCCTAAGGTTTAGTGTGGTGCACAAAAACATCGAACTGAGAAAAATGCATTTAAAGTTTCTAATAACTGTAACTTTTGCTAAAGTGAAGCTAGAGCAATAAAAATGGCACCGTTGTATAGCTCTACATTATGTGAGTATGGCTGTACCAAATGTGTCAATGCACCTTCCCAAAATATTTGCCACAGCTCATTTAAAAACTGTGTACTGGCCGTTGAATCAGTATAAGGAACCCAGTCTACAACTTTGTGGCTGTTCTAGTGCACTGAAAACCAAAGGAAGACACATGTTATATATAAAAACATCGCCCTTTTATACATAAAACACTATTTCAAGTAAAACACACATTTGTGTCCCAGACATCCTTACAATTCTACAGCATGCCAGGGCTGTATGCAGCTGGGCCGAATAGAGTGCACCGCTTCGGCAGGCATTCGCGCCAGCGAATCGTCGTCTGAATGTGCTGCCTCGGCAATAACAGGCACTTGCGCCAGCGAGTCGTTGTCTGAATGTGCTGCCTCCGCAATAACAGGCATTTCCGACAGCCCGTTGTCGTCAGAATGCGCTGCCTCGGCCATCTCCAGCGTTCTCGGCGGCGCGCAGGCCGCTCTCCTTCTGCCGCGCATTCCACGCTCGCTTTCGTTTCCTGCCGAAAGCTTGACGAGTGTTCTTCTTCAGGCGAGCTTCCCAAGCCATGCCGGCGAAATGCAGAAAGACGTATACGTCGGCGACGTCGGTACACGAGCGGGTAGCAGACGAGATAACACGCACGAGAGCAGGCGCCAACGGAGCAAAACCAAACAAACAAAAAAAAGAGCGAGCAACCGTGGCCGCGCCGCCGTGCCAGCCAATGGTAAGCGCGATACGGGGGGGGGGGGGGGGGGGGGGGCTTGCCGGCGCGCGCCCGCTCTAGCCAATCAGCGGTCCGGCAGACGGCTTCGCAAAACGGGAAAGGGCAGTCGTTGTGTTGGAGCTACGCCATTTTGAGAGCCCGCAAAATGCGCACAGAGGAACCAGCTTCAAAACAAGCCCTAAGATGGCGCCGATCCGCCGGCTGCTTCACTGGCAGGCGCGCGCGGGAAGTTCGAACAAATTTTCTGTTTTGCGGGTTGTTTTGCGGCTCCCGTGATGGTTTGAAAATAGATTTTAACCTATTTTTTTATCGAATTTAGCGTTAATAATTTGAGGAGAGGTGCTTAGAGGTTCAAAGATTAGAAAAATGCGTTTTTCTCAAAATCGATTTTTTGGCCATTTTTTACTTTTCTAAGACCCGCGTTTCCCCTTAACTTTCCCACCTCAGCTGGCTCTTACGTTTAAAAACAAGCACACAAAAAGCAAATGATTGAAGGTCATTTCGAAGTCCTTGATTGGCTGTGGCCTGCCATGTTGCCTCAGCTCGCCTCGCCATTGGCCAGACGCTCGCTCCGGGAAATCGTCGTCTGCTGCTTGTGCGTCGCGAGGGCATGGCTCTCGAAAATTGCTACTTCGTGACGTGTTCACAGCTCGATGATTACTTAAGATCTAATTACGCTTGAGTTAGGAGCAGTAGGCGGATGCGCGATCAGGTTACTACGAGCGCGGCGCATCATCGGAGTCGTCTCTGTCCCTCACTCCTCTGACAGCGAGACTGCGGGCAGGAACGATGCGCTAGCGCACTCATGGTGACATGCTTCGTCGCAAGCAACGAAGCTGTAAGCGGAGGCACGGTCAGATTACTACGAGCGGGCGCGCGGTCTACGAGCGCGGCGCGTCATCGGAGTTGGCTTTAGCCCTAACTCCGCTGACAGCGAGACTGCGGGCAGGAACGACGCGCTAGCGCATCCAAAACAACCCGCAGGTTGTTTGGTATACGCTGGACACCCTTCGCTTCTTTTTCTGCGCTTATGACGACGACATAGCAATGGACCACCTTTTCCAGTGCGAAGGGAGAGCTTTGAAGTTGTTGCATGGCAAGGGTCGGCAAAGTAAGTTGACCGAATTCTGGCAATAAATTTTCGTTCTGCTGGTCGTATCACTACTTTTATGTCTCATACTCGCGGCAACGAAATTATTGCAAAAACGAAATTTTTCGGTTTCCCCGGCGATTTCGTTATTACGAGTTTCGACTGTACGTGTTGTTATGATTCCCCAGACATGCGCAATAGTTGCTTTTTTATTGACATTCGCACAAGTATTAACGCTGAAGCTTGAGCAACATTGGTGGGCACTGCGGACTAAGTTGACCGTTTCAAGTAAATGTAGACAAACAGACAAATGCACAGACAGACAGGCAGACCAAAATTTTTGTGTTGGAGGCCCCCAAGAAAGACTATCATCTTTAAAAGACAAACTGTAACCAGAAAAATTTATAAATTTAAGGACATTCCAGCTCTCATAGTCAGTGTATGTTTTTAATTGTAACCAAGCTAGCAGTTTGCCCAGGCTTCAGTGATCAATACACTCATTTGGTATGGTGAAATATGCATTGCAGTTTGCTTAATAGCATGGGCCATAAAATAACACAGCCAGCCACGCTAAAGAGTGGCAAGTTGAACTGGCTGGTACCGATTCCTGGTGCGTGAAGCACGAGAAGATGCACAAGCTTTAGTTCAAAACACGAGGCAGCGGGCGTTTGAAGTGACAGAGGTGTTTGAAACGACTACACGAAAGACACTTGTTTGAGTCTGTTATTTGTGCAATGCAAACCACCCTATAATAAACATGGGCACAGAAAAAAATTATTTCGTGGCAAAAAAGATCTCTCACTCCAGTGCACTGCGAGTAGTGTTTCTCCATAGCTGTGATGGCAGGGCAGCTGAAGGGGCAGTCTTGGATCGGACAGGAGATGGTCTTGTGTTCAAGAAGCTCGTCCAGCCAGCGCACTTTCAGTGTCTGCGTCACAGTGCGCAGCAGAGGTGGCGTTCCACTCTCCTCATGCCTGCACCATTCAGAAGCACTGCTTGACCACACCTTTACAGCAGTCACCACACTCAGTGCTCTTCATCCAACCTGTGCATTTCCACACAGCTAATTATAGAAATGCAAATATTTTTCATTATTTTTATTACAGTCATCTAGAACTTTGCGCCGGTACCAATACTGAGGAGATAATGGGGATAGAAACTCGCCCCTAAAATTTTGAAAAAAAACATGGCTCCTCGAAAGGGTGAAGCAGTTAACGTAATAGCAGCATGTCTTAATGTTACTTATTTCCAAATCCACATCGCCTGTCTCAGTTTCCAGTACGTAGAAGGTGTAAATACAAATGTACAACACCTTAAAAAAAAATACAATTTAACAATGTTTATGCTTTTGCACTTCCTTTTCCTAATTGCTCAGCATCGAGTGTGCGCAAATACCCATCAAACTCATTCGAAAAATGCACAGTGCAGAAAAGAAAAAAAAACAGAAGACAATGAAACCAAATTTGAATTGATATAACAGGCACAATACTCCGAGAATCAAATCACCGGTATAGTGTGTAAAAAATGCAACCAAAAATACGAAAGCTAGAACACTTGAACCAGTGTAGGCTATCTTATTTACACAGGAGGATGATAAGATTGCAAGTGCATAGATGTTCGAGAGGTGCTACAGTGATAAAACATGCGCATTCTAACATAGTTAAGTCACGTGTGTGGTGAGGCAGCCAAACAAACCAACGCATACTCGAGTCTCACCAAAGTCTTACCTGCTGTCAGTCAGCATTCTTTTGTTGAGTTCCTTAACTTGCATAGGAGACACCAAAGTTTTCGAAGAGCTTGTTGCAAATTGTTTCGACAACCATGTGCCATTTTAATTTTGGTACGACAGTGTATTTACACAACACAACACCTACTAGACTTATACTGTCATTAGTATATGTAAAATGAAGAGGTTGTTTCTTATTTGAAAAGGTCGTGACTGCAATGTTTTTGGAGTTTGCCATGTTGCACTTCCATTACTGCCATGTCTTTGGAGTTTGGCATGTTCCACTTCCATTACAAAACAACAAAAAACAACACTATTCAGCGCATTCTGATCTTGAGTATAAGAGATAATTCTAAATATCATGCAGTCGTCTGCATACATTCTAAGCTCAATTTCGGAATCAATGATAATTTTCCCTTGATCGGAGAAAGGGGGAGGGGTACCAACTTTCTTTAATTTGTAGCTGTGATGGATTTGCCTTTTGCGACAAGCATAATCATGTTTTGTCGTCAAAAGTCAAATCGACAGGATGAATAATTTTTCCCCATTTCTGGCACACAAAAAAATCGAAAAAAACAAGACGGGGGGTTCCAAATGCAATTGAAACATCTGCGTTGCGGTCTCATAACGGTTTGGAGTAGCCAAACACACAAGGGTAGGGTTTCCCACTAAGGTGAAAGTCTCAAAGGGGGAGTGCAAATGCTCTAGAAATTTCACATCATCAAGACAACTAGTAAAGAAATCGATTTTCATAAAATTGATTTGCGTATGTCTTCAAACGTGAATGGACGGGACGGCGCAGCTGGCTACCGCGAAAGAGCGCGTCAAAGCTTTGGCTTTGCTCGAAGCTTTGCCTTTGCTCGCTACTAGATTCTTTGAACAGAAATGCCAAAACGCTTCTAACCTTTTTTTACATCTTTACTGCCTTTAATCTACTGCTTTAATCTGCCCTTTATCTGCCTTTATCGTAGATTGCTACGAGGGCATGAGCGTTGGCCTCACGCTCACTTCCTAAGTTCTGTCAGTAACGTCATCCCCATACATGATAGTGGCTAATGACCGCAGTTTCATCCTCAGCAGTTGTGGCAATGACAACCACACGCACTGGTCGCACGCTTACTTCCAAAGGTGTTCTTGATCGGCCTTCGTTCGACGGTTTTGGTACTAAAGTTCACATCATACACCACCACAATCAGGAAAAGTGTTCAGAACATTACAAATTTGGCCCAATGGACACATGAATTTGACTGGAAAATTTCATAAATTCGTATATGTCACGGTTTTGCATCACTGAGGTTCTACGGTACGTTCAGATGAACGCCTCTCAAATTTGTTTATAAAAAAAATTCAGTGGGTTCGCAAAAAGCCTAAAACAGACTGACCTGCGTTTTTGTCAAAGCAGCCATATCTCGCACACAAATTTTGAGTTTCGGGAGATTTTCATGAAAACCGTACAAACGGAAAAAACGGTAGAAACCCGGGAGTCTCCCGGACAATGCAAGAGACTTGGCAGGTTGCTGATGATAATTACACCAATAGATATTATTCCCTCCCGATGGTGGAATGTAACACAACACCATTTCTGTGGCCTCCGTGACTAGCTACTGCAATGCGCCGTAGCCAATCGTGGAGGCCACGCTACTTTACTAATTTTATTTTTTTATCATACATTTATTTTGTAATATTTTATGCAAGGTTCATAAAATCGTAAGCGCGGTCAAAATTAGGACATTTTACAGGAAAACTGGAAGAGTTGTGTTGCAATCAACAAGGTTCGACTCCACGCCCCCCCCCCCCCCCCCCCCCCCCCGTGTTTTCTGTCTTTGCTGAAGCAATAGCCGTTCTCAACCATTTTCCTTTCCTCCCCCCTTTTTGGTGAAGCTACAAAAGAAGCTTGCGTGATGCAATAAACGTTCATATTTCGCCCTCGTCTCCGACTGACTGTGTCTGCTTGCCGGGGCAGAGCCGCCGGCTACGTAACAGTAGCAACAACAAGGGCAGTTTTTTTATCGCTACCCACAGTACCTGACAGATGATGAGAATCCTGCCATCAGGCGACCGAGGAACGACCACCATGGCCTCCCTGCAGCTGCCGAATTACGACGAAACAAAAGATAAGTGGAAGCCTCACCTTATCAGAGCAGAAGCTTATTTCGAGGCGAACAGCGTTACAGACCCAGCTAAGAAGACAGCACTACTAGTTTCGGCGTTGTCTAGCAAGACGGTCGAAGTGCTAGCTGGTAGGATAGTCCTGCATGCAACAAATTCACTGACTTATGAGGAAGTCGTCCGGAGTTTCAATGAATGCTACAATCCTAAGAAGCATGAGATAACGGAAAGCTACAAGTTCTTCAATCGCTCACAACTTTCAAGTGAAACCGTTAGCGAGTTTCTCGTGGCTATTTGCCGAATAGCAGACAACTGCAATTTCGGCACATTTCTTCACCGCATGCTTCGAGATCCTATTGTCTGCAGCGTACACTCCCGGGCACTGAGGAAACAGATGTAGGTGAAAAAAGATTTAACACTAGAAGATGCCGAAGTATTGGCACTTTCTGTCAAAGCAGCTGAAAATGGTGCTGAAACCATGACCGCAGACGCTACACCCTTGCTTTAGTTATACGCGTCCGAGGCCAACTGCTCTTAAAGCTTCTCCTATTCGCGACGTGGTGCAGCATTGTGATAGATGCGGAAGCGGCAAACACGATGGCAACAGCTGTCGTTGAATAAGAGCAAGGTGTTATCACTGTGGACTTCATGGGCATCTTGCAAAGATGTGCCACAGCACGACCAGTAAAGGCCGCGTCGCAATGCATGGAAAAGCTTTGACTCTCAAAGAAGCCGTAACTGAAGACGATGATAATAAAGACATAATAAAGACACATATATGAGCCTTACTTGCTGCACGAAAAAGCCACCTCGAGCCGCCGATAAGGCGCAGTTTTTCATGGAGTGGTGTGCAACTTACAATATAAGTAGATACTGGATCACCTGTTTGCGTTATTTCCCTAAACGTTTTTGAAAAGCATCGCAAACAGTGGCCAGCACTTTAACCTTTGCATGTGAAGTCATGCTATGTCGGACCATCTCAGTGATTGGGGAATCGCACCTATGTGTGCAATACAAGGAAACCTGCCATCTTATTGTGTTTGACTGCTCTGGACCTAACCTGTGTGGTCGGAACCCGATTTCCTTATTCGACAGAGCAAGGGTTCCTGTTTTGCAGCCGTCAATACAAGACTCGCTACCCTCAACGCCAGAATCCGCTGGGGCAGATCACAACATTGTTGATGATATAAGGGGGCTTATTGGATAAAACCAACTGCCTGGTTCAAGAGGCGTCAGTCACTGTCACGAGCTCAGCTCTTCGTAGTAGTCGTCTTTCAGGTGCTCCAACTAGATAGCTGTCTCTCTCCCTCTTCCCCACTACATTTGCCCCGGTGGTGAAGAGGAGCCATCCTGGCGACTCACGGCGAAGCAAGCACATGGGGATCATAGTAAGGTTTTAAGCGGCTGATGTGGACTGTCTCACGACCACGGCATCGTCTGTCCTCGGCAGGTGTCACTGGTTCGACGACGTGGTTGACTGGTGACGTGCATTGAATGATGCAGTACGGACCATTGTACTTGGATGCAAACTTTCGGGAGGGGCCGGGGGACTGGAATGGAACCGAAAGCCATACAAATGAGCCTACGGGGAAGCTGTGAGCAGGCTTGTCTTGGTCAAGTCGTTCTTTTTGGAGACCTTGTGCAACGGACATAAATGAACGCGCTAATTGGCGGCACTCTTCGGCACACTGAACAAGTTCGGAGGCTGGGCGGTATTCTGAAGCATCTGGGCGGTAAGTAAGTATCGTGTCAAGCGTAGAAGAGGGCTCACGTCCGTACAGTAGAAAAATTCCCCGTATTGCATAATGGGGAATTTGCCGACGTAGTGCACGAGGTAGACGCTGGCGTGGTGTCACTGAAGACGAGGAGAGAACGTCGATGAGCGAGGCTACCCAAGGGTCCTTGCGTTCTTCCGAAGGCATGTCAGTGATATCGATGCTGCCGATGGTAGCTTCGGCGAAAGAAACAGGTGCAACGGCTGAAGGAAGGGGCGAACGAGAAAGAGCATCTGCGTCGGTGTGCTTGCGGCCTGAGCGGTAAATGACGTGAATATCAAATTCCTGTAAACGTAGCGCCCAACGTCCAAGCCGGCCCGAAGGATCCTTCAATGAAGCGAGCCAACAGAGTGAATGGTGATCT